TAGAGTCATCTACCCTTCAGATGCCGCTAGCGAACGATGCACTAGCACAGTCGTCGCTTGGATTATCAAGGGTTGTCTCCACTGCCGACTGCAAGATCTAAAAAGATCAGTGTGGCTTTCGTTCAGCCTGAAGAACCTGTGACCAGATCTTTAGCCTACGCCAAATTCTTGAGAAACTATGAGTGTTCGCTCATTTGTCTAACGTGTGTCTTGTAGACCAGGAGAAATACTATGTCCGAATTCCGTGAAGCAATCCATGGAGACGCGTACAGAATTATGGGATCGATAGCTAGTTGCTACGAGTCATCCAATCTCTAAGTGTTGATAACAGATGCTGCGTCACAGTAAACAGTATTAAGTCGAGAGCTTTAAACTTCGACATTCTGTAAACTATCCTGTTCATTTTATGCATAGATAGGATAGTCAGACGCAGCCAGGTTGAGGAGCGTAGCAATAAATGGGACGATGAGACAGTGAATCTGCTGCTTGCTGATCTGATTTTGGCGGCTTCTTCGAAGAATAATCTCCAGTGCGCTCTGAAAATTTGATAGCCGACATGCACGTAAAAAGTTCTAAAACTAATAGCCCAGTGCTTTCTTGCTTGCCTATCCATTGCGCTCTGCAGATGAACGGAAAAACAATGGATAATGTGGAGAAATTCACGTATCTCGCGGTAGCGTTTACCGATGATAAAGAATAAGTTAAAGAGATCGACCAACGAATTTGGATGGCCAGTGGCATTGTGCGTGAACTAGCCTAAACCGTGGTAATTAAGCTAGCGCTTAGCCTGAAGATCAAACTGTATGCATTCAAGCTGATTTTCACCCCAGTGTACACCTGTTACAATGAGTTGCGAGCATCACTGAAAAAAATGACATCCCGAATATAAACGGCTGAAACGAGCCTCATGATACGAATCACTCGGGTCACACGTCGCGAAAGAATCCTGAGCTCAGATATCAGAGCAAGCCTCGCGTGTAGCGCTGCTTCTACAAAATGAGAAGTTTCAGTTACAACGGTTTTAGCACGGTTTTGGGAATGCTTCCAGAAAGGAAGGCGAAACAGCAACAGCTTGTCTACCGATCGGTCGAAAACCCCAAATAAAGTGAAGAATGGTCTGAGGCAAGTGATTCGACGGGTTGCACCATAGAGTCGGATGATCCTCTGTGAAGTTCAGGCGCTGACACAGGATTTAGAATGTTACAAGTGACGCTGTATGCCCCTGCAATCCGAGAGGACGAACAGCCATCGAAACGGAGTGACTGATTCAATGCATAATATTAAGTGCCAATTTTATGATGTGACTTTACTGGCGCAGTGAAATAATCGAGCTAATTCGTTACTTTTCCTTGAAAAGCAGAAAATCAACACTTCTGTTCTGGATCGTGCGATCTTCATAAATGGCGGCGATTCTAAGATCAGAAATTCATGTCAGTCCCGTGAATTCTTTTTCAAACCAGCTGCTATTATTCATTGGCTATGAGCACAAGACGGCTGCCTTAGCAGGTGGTTTCGAATCCAATTTTCGACCGAATAGAACAAAATATTAATTGTTCAGCACTTATCGACGGCTGCTCAAATGACCTAAAGACGCAAGACTTCAGACTTTGCATGCGCCTACAAACTTTGAATTTCAGCCGTTAGAAAAAACAGTCTCCTCAGTTAGCATTAATTATCGATGGATAAAATAATCCTATTTAATTCCCACTCTTCAGCAGTTTCAAATGGAGTAATGCTATATTCCGATAAATATCGATTGAAAAAATGCAACGTTTGCCCATTGCCCCCCCCCCCGTGCAATGATGGCACGTTACCGCATTTGCGGGAAAGGGAGA